GCATTAGAGATGTGCACCATCACTCCTGGCTTTAAAACTTTTCATTGAATGTAAAATAAATACCATTTCTAATAAAATATTTCTCACCTTTTCAATAAGAAAATACTTTTATTGTTAATGTTCATTACTAGAAAGAGTTGGAGAAAAAAATTACTGCAATTACAATTTGTAGTTGGGAAATGGAATTTGATCCAATAGTTTGGAGGTAAATTTTACATACATTAAAATTTTAAAGGTGTGACCCATTAATTTAATAGTCTCACTTCTAGAAATCTATCCTTTCATCTATCCTTTTTTCCTCCCTGTATCAATTCTTCTTTCTCTATCTCTTTCTTCTTTACTTTCTTTCCTTCTTTCACTCATCAATTTGCCTAACCAATCACAATAGCTACACAATCATTCCTGTGAAGTGGATACTGATAAAACCCAACGTGAGAGGTTGGTCAAAGCTACTTTAGGTGACTTCATGAAGGGGACTTTTAAGAAAATCATGCTACTTCCTCACACTGACTATAGAATTAGTTGAAAAACAAACTCAGGGAAACCCAGGCCACACAAAGAAAGGCCGTATTGAAATATAAAGTGAGCTTCAGAAGAAAACAGAACTTTGGTGCATTCACTTATAACATTATGTCCCTTGGAGCACAGCTAATACCTTCTTAAGCTCCCTTTTTGACCTTTAAGCTCTTTCATTGCATATGGTTGACTTAAAGCCAGCTGAGTCCCAATGTGAGGTAGCATCTCTTCTACGCAAAAGTGGACAGAATGCATCAAGCATTCAGATATCACAAGTTTTCTCTCCAGTCATGCAATCCTAAAACACATGCACACACCAAATTACCTCTCTGAATTAGCTAACACTATTTGATATCTCTCAGTGAGGTTGAGTAATTCATCCAGGTAAATTAACTAGTAAGCTATAGGGCAAGACGATGATACCCCCAATCTAACTGCAGAGCCTGAGCTCTTAACAAACACGTTGTGCTGTCTACTCACTCATTCATCCATTCACTTATCACAGAATTACTGAGTTCTTATTTTTGACCCAGGCATTCAGTAGGTTTCCTTAAGGGATTTATATTTTTTAGTAAAAGAGTTCCTGCTTTTCAAGGCTCCCAACAGATTAAGAAACATCCAATATGGTTGGGTACTTTCTATACAATAATGAACATGGAACATTGAAACCTGTTGAGATCACCATGTGAAGGAGACTAAGGTAGAAAGAATAATGGAGGGGATGAAACAATTTGGGGTATAATACATATAAATAAAGATATGTTGTAATGAAACTCCCTGAATAACTACCATGAATAAACAAAAATGTCTTTTTTAAAAAATGAAGGCAAGGAGGGTAAAACAGATCCTGTCTGGGGGTTAGTATCAGTGAGAGAAACCAGGGCATAGGGAAAGGCTGAAGGAGGGCAAGTATGGTGGAAGTACTAAGTATTCATGTATGAAAATGGAACAATGAGAACTGTTGAAACTGTTCTAAGAAAGGGAGGGGGGATAAAGGAGGAAGATGGAGGGGGTAAGTATAAGATATATTTTAAGCACTTTTATACATGTCACAATGTACCCCCCATACAATTATAATATGCTAATAAATAAACAAAGAAAAGGAAAAAAAATCCATAAGAGAAAAGCCTCTGGATTCCCATGTAAACTTGTACTGGCAAGTGCCCAAGATCAAGCAGATCCTCCAACCAACAAATCCCTGTGCTCATGACATAAGACCACGGACTCACAGTGTAACAGATGTATTTCATCTTATCTGAAGGATTGCTGGCATGACGGGGAGGGAGGAAGTCAATAGAACATTTCTTGGATATCTGGAGTCCATACCTAGGTTACCTTCTTTACCCTGTGCTTATCTGCTCTCTCCACTCCCAACTCCTCACAAAAAGGAAAATCTGTGTCAAACACACTAATTAAAAAGAAAGAATTCAGACTTTATAAAAAGACTATGCTTATTTTATTTCACTGTATAGTTATAATTCTGAATGTGTGGATTCTTAGTGACTAAAATATATAGGAAATGCCATTGTGGAGACATCTTGAATAAACAGTTATAAAACAGAAATGTCATAATGCCATCAAGGCCTTTTCTGGTGCTTATCCAGGCATTATCAGTTGATTTATTTAATAAAACAGAGGAAATACAACTTCCAATAGAATGCTCTCATGCTGTGATTGTTGAAGTGATAAGTAATTTGCTTTTAATGCTAGCACATACCACTTAGCACCATATTTAACTGAAGGGAGAAAATCACTCATTTTTCATCCACTTGCTTATCTGACACTTAGTACAATCCATCTATTGTCACTGAATTTAATACAAGGACCATTTAATATATTTAACTTTTAAATTCACAGCAAGCATTTAAATTTTTAACTCCTTATTTATATCTTTATTCTTTAATAGAACTAAGTTCCAAATGAATAGCCTACTTAGACAATAAGTGCACAGTAGGTACTAGCAAAAGTGATCTATTAGAAGGATATTTTATTTACAGTTTTCAATTATAATGACATTTACTATTACACATTATCTTTATATGAGAAAAAATAACAAATTGAATGACATGTCAATTAGTAAGTACAATACAAGTAAGATACTAATGAAATCACTGAAAATATATGCATAAACTTATAGATAGTATTTTACTAATGCATTCTTGAAAGATAGTTATTAGCGTCATAAATTACCCTTAATAGACTGAAAATCCTAATGACTGAATTCACAAGTATATAGTCCCCCAGAAATCTATCTTGAATTTTGAAATAATACTTTGTCCGGTATGTGTAATCTTTCTTAAGGGGACATGACACTAGTGCCTGTCTCATTAGGACTCAGTTCTTGGAAGGCATCTGTTTACAAAAGCTATTCTATCTATAACCATGTAATTATTATTTTCAGTGCATATGGGCCCTCAGAAAACTAGAAGTGTTGATTATAAGAGCAAACACCTCCACTGTCTTCTTTCTCTATTTTTCTTAAGAACACATAAATGCCTCCCCAAAAAAAAAGTCTGAATTACATAGGTTCTTTCAGTGCTAATACAAAATGCAGGGTTTACTTAGATATCAACAGTACCAAAATTCTTTTTCAGTGCTGTACTGGGGTTATAGTAATGAGCCCATGCACATCAGAAATGTTCTGTTCAACAGAGGACAAAACTCATGAAAAACATGTAAATAAGTCTCTATGTACCACACATCTGTGTAAACACATAATGTTATAAAAGCTTTACGCAAACTCAAATGTTGAACCCATTATCTAATCCATAACGTTCAGTAAGGTAAGTTCAAAGGTAAAGAAAACAAATATAAAACAACATCAACAACAAAAACAAAACACTCTGCAAACTTGGACTTTAAAATACTAGAAAACTCATGCTTTGCAATAGTGTATTAGAACATGCCCTAGATTACACACTTAGAAACACAGTGTGTCCCTGAGCATCCTTCAGGGGACAGAAAATATTGCTCTTCTTAATTATGTTCATCCTTCCATTGGGGCCACCAATTTCCTAAAGGAAACATGTAAAATAAAAAAGAAAATTTTTTGCTAATTTCTTTTTTATTTATTCAATTCACTATCATTTAGCTCTAAGTATAATTTATGTGAAATTTGACATATCAGCTTATTTTCCATTCAACAAAATGTACTGAGCACCTATTCATTCAAAGTAGAGTAATAGAAATTGGACAAGTAATAGTAAACAAAGGAGAAAACTATCCCTGCCCTCATAGGGCTTAAATTTTAGTGAGGGAAGTATAAACAGATGTGATAGGCCAACAAAATAAGCAGGTATTGATACTACTTCCGTTAATTAAATGGAAAGTCAGTGAAAAATTATCACTTCACTTTTTGATTAAGTTTGTTTTTTCATCTTGACTTATTAAATATGACTGAAGATGCAGAAATCTGACATGTATAATTTTATTCCTTCTTGGAATATTTTGTGCTGATACGGGTCAAACAGAATTAGTTTTAATATATCTGGCTTGCCTTATTTTAATTTGTTTGAACTTCTTTATGCTATAAATTACAATTCAACACAGACCTGTCCTTAATCCTTCCCCTCCACTGCCTTCACACCTCTTCCCCAAAGCAAATGTTTATTGAACAATATAGAGTACCTAGCTCTGTTCTAAGTTCTGCAAATAGAAGCACACAGTTTTAAAAATTCTTTCTCCACAGGTGGCTCATGCTCTAATGGAAAAAACAAAAGTGTATAATTAGCATGCAAAGCTGCTAGTAGCATGGAAGTAAATATCTGGTGATCCAAGCTGAGTATATTGAGTGGAAGTGAAGAAAGAAGTAAGTCAGTGATGATGACACTTAAGTATCTGAAGGAAATTACCTTCATTTTTGTTAGCCTAGAAGAGGCTATTGGCCACTCTGGAAATTGAAAAGGGATGGGACACCATTTTAACATTCTGTGGCAGGGCTTTTTTTCCTCCCATATGGAGGAAATAAGGGGAGTGACTAGAAGATAAATCCAAGACTAAATAAATTCCCTTGTCTCTTCATTAGCTAGAAAATTTCATATTTTTTCTATAAGGAATTTCAAGGGAAAAATGGAAAGTTTAAATAATAACAAAAATCCCAAGGCATTTATGTGAGCCCATTTGCAGAGTATATAGTTTGTGTTCTAAGATGACAACAACCAAGCCCAAACTGGGTGTCTCAGGTTTGAGCTTTGTTTACTCACTTCAACTCTTTCTAAAAAGAACAAAGGAGCCCATCCACTTTCCTTCCATTCCTTATATAATCCTGCTCTCCTTCCTCCCTTGCTTTCTTCTTTCTCAACTGAAGGTTAGAATGAGATTTACAATCACAGATAGCAATGAACTTGGACTTCTTACCATGACTTCTACACTATGATGGAACTTTAGGAAAAAAGAAATGGCACTTGATGGCCCCTATCTAGTAGATGCACTGACATAAGCTATCGGTTAAGTGTTTAATCAGCAGAAAAAAATACCTTCTTATTTTAATGGACCCTTCTCCTTTCTCTTGAGTTAGTATCAAAGGAGTCTCCCAGAACAGTGTCCATTTCACTTATGTGCTGCTCAATAGCTGTGATCACTTCACTGGGGATAATCTTCAAAGCCCTGATGTCACCAAAAACCTGAAATGTGGTGATAAAATGAGCACATATGAACTTACCACATTTCAAAGACATATTAAGGTGAAATGGTCAAAAGACACTATTTTTTCTTATCTCCCCAGAAAAAATTTGTAACTTTCAAATCCTCTGAAATGACGTTATTATGCTATTTCTCTAGTTATACAGAAATTTATAATTAAGGTGTTATGGTTCACTTCTATTTCTGACCTTTACAATAGCTTTATAAAAACCATACCAAAATACAAAGTAATATTGCTATTTAGTAACACAGAGCACAGGATAATAATAATAACGATAAGCAATTGAAATATATTTTAAAAGTGAATTTTCTAATTCTATTGGAACCAAAAATGGAAAAAAAACAAAAATGAGACTGGGGTTCTTTATTTTGCCTTTGATAACTTTTGTATAAGTGCATAGAAAACAAAAACTTTTGGGGAGAACACATTGGATAACATTCCTTTTAGTAGAAACTCATTGTCCCAAGAGAAGTTCCTATAAATACAAAACTAATTATCCTGGAGTACAACTAATAGCCATGCCAACATCCCGTTTGACCCGTCACACACAGTTTGGGTTTATTCCTGGACTGTTTATAATAATCACCAGTTTTGCTGACTTCATATGTCCTCTACATCTTGAAGATATCTAGCATTTCCAAGCATTCTGCTGAAGGCCTACTTTTCCACAGAACGTGACCTCTAGAACTGAAAGTCATCCACATGTAAAGGGCAGGGAGCCACATCCACATTTAAGTCAGCAAAGCGAATGAATTTCTCCGATAGCAAAAAGGACATCTGCTTATCAGAACTGCTCTTTGATTACAGAAGCCATTTTGTTTTTCAGAACTACTTTGCTATGTCCTAATGAGAACATAAATCATATAACAGACTAATCAGAAGGCCTCTCTACAAGGTGGACAAATGTAGAAAGGGTACAAGGAGAACTCCTAGCTCACATTTGCACTAATTATTCTGAAAGCATTTCTCTACTCAGCTTCTCACTGTCAGGGTCATGGCGCAGTAGCATTTAGTCTTCTGAGTTACTCTTGTTTTTCTAATTTGCTCCCACATTTGTAGCTATTTCCTTTGACCCTGCCAGCATAAGGTCTCCAAAATGCACTTATGTAAAATGATCCATATACATGTGATATACATCAAATTAACACATATATTTTGACCTGAGGATTTAGGGAAGACAGAATAAAACTTTAACTAAATTTAGCCTCAATTGCAATTGCTAAAGAAATTTATTAGTTGTCTCTTCTACATTAACTCTGTGCTGTATTGCACAGAGTTCTCTTTCTAAGTGCAGCAATGTGTTTATTAAGAGATCTTAGAATATTTTTAATTTTATCAATCTATGTAGTTATTTCAAGGCATGTGTGCTAGAAAAATAAGCTAATAATATCATGACCATACTTTCCTTTATGAATAGCATTGACTAATGGGAAGAAATGTTTCTAGAAAACACATTACATATATCTTAGATTTTATGACTATTTAAATATGCCATGCTTTAAAAATAAAGAAAAAAAACCAACCTAATCATATAGCATCTTTCAAAGGCAGAAAAGGACAGTGAACTGTGATATCCATAGTCTCACATTTCAAACTTTACATTATCCAATTAACATACAGAAAGCAGTATAGTTTGTGTAGCTATGGCCTAGATGACTACCAAAATGCTGGGTAGCCTTTCTCACTCACCGCAGTTTGGTTATACATTTGTTTATATTTCTGAGCAATTTGGTTGTATACACAAAAGTACACACAGCTGTATACATACATCACACACACACACACACACACACACACACACACATACACACACACACATACACGCACACACACACATTCTCATATACTTTGACCTAGTAACCTCAATGTCCGGAATCTATCTTTAAGAAATAATGTTAGAGGTAAAGAATTAAATTCTACCTAACCATAAAAGTAACAACAACAATAACAACACAAAGGAGCAAAAAAAGTGTCAGAATAAACTTTTTCAGAGAAAACTATCTCTGGTACACTGTGTAGCTGAAGTTAAAAATCACTGAGGACTTAACTCAGGATTCTGCTCAATCGTGTTAAGATTTATGATTCTGAACTAATAAAATGCAAGTATAGACATCACTGTGTGACAAGAAAATACAGTCTGCAGAGACAGTCAATAGTCTTTTGGACCATGTAGAGCTAGTATTCATTGGTGACATTGTTGCAGGTGAGGCGACAGCACAAGTAAGTTCCTTCCATCTTGTATTTGAAGCAAAACTGGCCTTCTCTGGTTCAAGCAAGCCTTAGGATACAGGTCTTGCAAATCAGGGTAGGTATATCCTCAGGTTTCAAGTTGGAAAAAGGAAATTGACATTATTTACAATTGAGTTGATGAGATAGGTCATATCCAACTGCCCAAAATATATGGTTTTGTAAAGCTTCAGTAAAAGGTCATAATAAAACATGGCTAAGGAAAGGAGGAGGAGGAAGAATAAAATAGAAATGACATTCTGGAAGTAAATTTGGATTTCATTTGTCCCCTTAACACAGGCTTTAGGTCTCCATAGCCCTAATCCACTGAGTGCAGTAAGCACAATGATCAGAAGAATGGACAGAGTCTGTTTAAATTAGATTAGAACTGCAGAGTTCTAGAATAGAGCTTGAAGAAATACCACACTTTTTAAGTTATAGGTTGACTCAACATAGTTTTAGGAAAAGAATGTTTTGCACTTTGAAGAAGTAGATCACTTCTGTAAATTTTTCTCAAGTGGTTAATTGAACGATGGACTGACACTTAGATTTATTCTCTGGAATTTAGCAATGGTGACCATGGAGATCATCACAACAGCAAAAATGAGAATCCAAAATACACAGTCTTTTCATTTCTGCGAATGTATACCTTACTTGGCTGTGAAATATTCAACACTCTTAAGATAAAATATCTGAATATTGCCTCTGAAGGAGCAGCTGTCACCTTAAATCCGAAGTCTAGTTTGTTTACTGGCTGTATTTTATATCCTTTAGAAAATGACACAAAATAGCAATAAAATCATTGTAAGTATTCTACAGGGGAATATCAATGCCCCTTGGTTACAGTGTACATATCTTTATACATAATTCCAGTTTATTTTCCACAGAATTATGTTAAATATGTAAAAAGCCTTTTCTCATAAAGGTAAAAATGCTGGATGTTTCCAAGTTGTAATTTAGCATTAGTGTCAAGATTGCTTCAGAAAATAAGCCACTGTTGCTATTGAATTCCTTTTAAGTGTCACTCAGCATACTTTATGTGATTTTTGCACATAAAATAAACTTTTGTGATTTTATATCACTGTTTTGGAAATGTGAGATTAAAACTAATTCATAGGACACATTTGGAAAACTATCTGATCTAAAGCAACCATGTGTTTTACATTGTTTTATATCATCATTAAATAATTGGTTCAGAGAGTTATGGAAGAATTTGTTCCATAAGCTAAAATGGTATAGTGATACTATCTATGAATTCTTAAAGAAAAGAAAAAGTATTTGCAGTTTGTTCTCAGGTTAACATTGACACAATTACAAAAACATATCAAGATATTTTAATAATATTTCCATATATAAATATAAAAAGATATAACTATATTTAGGATTATTTATCTTGCCTTTTTACCTGAGTAAATTCCTTGATCATTTTAGAGAAATTGATATTAAACAGCCTTGCCAAATAGAGTAAAATTTTAAAAATCACATACATTGTAATTGATCATCTCAAACATTAATTTTGAATGCAAGAATTTCCAATTTATTTATATTAAAAAATGTAAAAGATTCTGAATATTATAGTTTATTAAGATTAATTTTAAAAAAGCATGAAAATGTTTTTCCTCATTTAGGTCACCGCATAACATAGCCTATCCAAAGTCACAATTCAGTGAGAGAGAAAATATACAAAATTAAAAGCAAACAGATTTTATTCAAGCTAAAACATTCAGTATCAACTGCTTGTACAGTAAATATTTAATTCTTTACTTCCATAATGTTTACATTAAACATTTAGCCTTTTATTTTAGTTCGTATATCTAGGCTTATTTTTAACAACTTTTTTGCACTTAATAAACCTTTAAAAATATTTCTGACGACTTAGAATCCAAGGGTTTTTAAAGGAGTCTCCAATATTTCATGTATGCATTTATTATGTGATAGACATAAATATAATAATGAACTAAATATTTTCTAAAACAGTCATAAGTTCCAATTATTTAGAGATTCAAGAATAATCTAAAATGCTGAAAATCACTTTATGTGTAAGAGTATTTGCAAAAAATATGGGTTGTTTTATCTTGTATATATAAATTTAAAATACAGGGTCCATATGAAGTAAGAATTACTAATTAAGCTAATTGTTTCAAAATATAAGTATAAATGAAGTACAATATAGAGGAATTTGATAATTTATTATTAGACAATAGTCATTATCTTAGGACATAACTGTAGAACCTTTAGAATGTTTGTAACAATCATATTTCAACATAAAACAAACGGTCAAAACAATTCTTCATGACTTTCTAAAGAAACCATACATAGCTATAATAAAATTCACTTAGTTACTAAAAGTTAATATTTTTTACCTTATTGCTAAAATCACTTTTTATTTACTTTTTTTAAGCAAATTGGTTTTTTTGGTTTATTATTTTATTGTTGTGCTGGGTAGGGGTACATTATGGTATTTACAAAGGTTCTTATCATATGTTAAGTATTTCATATTTGAATTCACCCCCCACCATTCTCCTTTATCCCTCTCCCCTCATTCCTGGAATAGTGAAACAATATTTGAACAGTTGATAGATGCAGCCAGGTACAGTGACCACATCTATAATCCCAGCACACAGGAGAGGTCAGCCTGGGCTACACAGCTAAACTCTGTCTCAAAATCAAAACAAAACAACAAAGTAAATAGCTGTATTTCCTTAAAATGTATCTGAAATCTACTGGATTTGTTTGAAATTTACAGTGTGCTAGGCTCACAAGAATAAAACTGCAATTTTTCATGATACCAACACATATAAAAAAACATATAAAGTGATAAGCTAAGCCAGAAGAGAGCGATTTCTTGCTTAGTTTTTGTGGAAGTCTAGCCATTTCATAGCAAGTTGCACTGACCCAATTATTATGAATAAATAAAATCATGAATTTTGATGTTTACACATGGAAGCAATTTTGTCAATACTTAAGGAGAGCTAAATTCATATACACTATATATATATATATATATATATGAATTAGTAAGTCTATGTACCAAAGGCATTTCATTGTAATCTCGGAGGAAAATGTCTTTTAAGTGTCATTATATTCTAGTACTAGTCTGATAATTGAACTCTACTTTGCTCTTGCATTCTGTTTCTTCATATGTTGCTTGTAATAGGGTCTAAATTTTAGATATAGTAAAATGATAACCCTTTATCATTTAAATAAGCTAGCATAGACAAGCATTGTGAGGGAAAATAGTATCAGGACATTATTAAAAACCCAAAAGAAAGAAGGGAAGGAAAGAAAGAAGGAAGGAAGAAGGAAATGACACCTATTAAGCTTGACATTGGAAACCAAACAAAGAAGATATTAGTGCACATCTTTAGCAATATTGTATACAATAATTGTATTAAAATAGTAACCATTGCTATTACTGCCTCCTGTTAATGTATATTTCTCATATTGTCATATAAGCAAAACATACCCAAAGGACATACTGCATCTTCTTACAGAGGTATTGTGCACAAAACGTCAAGCTTTCTAAATTTGGAGAATCTAAAATGTGACTTCCTTCTATTTTTTCGAAGTGAATTAATTTTAAAATAATCTTCAAAGTAGCCAAAAACTGCATGCAATGGGAAATATGAGAATACCTTTTTTCTTTTTTACCAAAGGGAAAACTGATGGAGCAATTTTCTCACTGAAAATATAAAATATCGTCAACAATTTGCATCAGTTTAATGAATGCTGACTGCGTGCCCCACTTTCCTGAATTTTCTTATTGATTCCTATATGATTATCATGTATTTCTTTCTCTCCTGTACACACACACACACACGTGTGCACACACACACACATGCACACACACACACTGAGAATTCTCAAATCTACTAGATAATCTTTTCTGGAAGAAATTAAAATGTACAGTTGAAGGAAAAAGAAAAACTCAAAATGATTTGTATAAGTCTTGCAAAGCTTCACTCAGACCTGGAAGAAGTCACCTTCATCATCTATCTTCACACTGAGGGTAATAATGCTAACGTTTAGTGTCTCTTCCCCTGCTATTTGCACTGTGTGGGCCCTGGATTCTCCACACAGCAGAAAAACCCTGAGCTGAGTAAAACCCATCTAATAATAAAATTGTGTTTGGGTTTTTCCCTTTCTCCTTTCTTCTCCTGCTGCTTTCTATCAGCAGAACACTTAATCACTAATTGGTTAATCTGTTATTTAGGCAAGTATTAATATTCTAATTTTGCAGACAAGGAATCAGGCTTCCTGCTGTGTATGCCCTGGCCCTGGGTAAGGAGCTCTTCAGATGGGAGATTCAAAGTAGGTGAGACTGGCCTCCTGGGACCCCGCCACTTGCCTAAAGCCACAGGAGGGCTTCACAGAGCTTCCTTAGATCGCTGAGTTCCTGGCTCCCAGTTCTCTGCTCAGACCACCAGGCGACACCGCCTCTAATGACAAAAATCCGTTTTCCCATTCCGCCCCAACTAATGCTCCAAGGACCTTCTTAATTGCCACTGATACCCTGGGATCCGGAAGCTTATTTGTAACTTGATGAATCTGCACCAGGTTTGCCTGGGTTTCTAGGTTTTGTAGCACTAAAACTTTACAGTAACTTTGTTCTTATAAAATATCTCAAGCTAACCCTACCTATGAAACAAAGAGACAAAGCATCGCTCTGTGGAGATTGATGAAATCTGTGGAGTCAAGAGAGGCTGACAAAAATAGAATGAAGGACAGGTGCATCAGGACAATGACCATCTCTGACAAGGGGGTGACACTAAAAGGCAAATATCTAGAGCAGCATAAGAGGTGTGGCTTCTCTCCTAGGTCACAGCCTGGATAAAAAACATCATGAACACATGTCCATGCGATATTGTTTACAATCCAATGTCTATTTCAGACTCATGAAATCTGACCTCCTTTCCAAAAATGTAGCATTCTGTGCAAATAGAACTTTCCAACTCAAAAGGCCAGGGCTTTATTTCAATGTAAAAGGGAAAAGGTTAATATCTGACCTATATTTATTACTAGAATTAGCAGTCTTAGAAGTCACTTCAGTTACAAGTTAGGGCTGTGTTAAATGCCAAAGGAACTTGGATAACTAGAAGATTCTGTGTAGGAACCAACATAAAACCATGAAGAATAGAATTCAGGTTATAGAGAGAGCTAAAGCAACCTTTCATCATTTTTGTTTCATAGTTATGGTCATCTCATTTCCAAATAAATTAAGCCCAGACTGTACTGCCTGTTTCTTCCCATATCAGAATATGGGAGCAAACTATGACATGGATCTTACCAGTATCCTAAGTAGGTCTAAGTCTTCCCCCAAGTTCAGGTTCCCTTAATGAATATAATGTGGGCATTGATGATAAGGAGCTCATGGTACCTAATTACCAGTCATGTAACAGAATTTGGAATCAAAAATGTCAATATAATTGGATAAATGCTGAGATTTGACATTTCTTTATGCTGCATACATTGTGGGAAACATAAATTCCCTTTCTCACTGAGGCTCCAAAAGATCAGTTTCAAACTCCTTCCAATTTCAGGTTTTTTGGCTCAAAAAGCCAGTAATTGGCCCGGCAGTACCTGCTCTGAGTCAAGAGAGAGAAAAAGGAAAGTAAGAAGACTGGTGAGTATCCAGGCAGATGCCTGAAAATAAATTTGCCTAATCCTCAGTTTGCTCCAGGACTAGAATTGTTTTATAGCTCCTGTCCCCTAGGAGACACAAGTTCATAGTAAAAAAAAGTTCAGAAAGGCTAAAGAATAAAATCTGATACTCATGATAAAAAAGAAGACACAGGAAGATAGTTCAATTCAGAGTGGATTTCATAGAAGAGGAAGCAAATAAAGAAAGAAGTAAGTGGGTTGGTCTAGACTACAGACCCAAGAGTGGACAAGACCGTGCACATTTTCTGGAATCTTACAAAGGAGAGAGCTGGTTTAGTATTTGCTGGAATTTCAGTTGGTCCACCATACATCCTCGTAAAAGGCAACTGAATGGAAATAAAAGAGTCAGATGGGTCAATAGTATCTTTCTATAATCCCACCATTCAGTTCTACCAGAATTGAGTTTAGTTTATTTTTAGTATAATGTTATTATTAGTACTTGAAAAAATGTTTTCAAGTTGAATGTGTTTGAGTGTGTTCCATAATACTTTGCAATCTCCAATGCACTTTAAAAAAAAAAGAGCTAACAATACATTGTAGATGTTATCTCATTGATCTGCCCCAAATCCCTGTGAGCAGTTTTACAGCTAAGGAAATAGATGAAGTAGGGAGAAATGACTAAGCCAAAGTTATGGAGCAAAGGAAGGAGGAGGTGAATGGAAAGACCTTAAGGATGCTGTGCTCAGGAAACCACACCACTTTCCACCTGGGCTTTCTGCTGAGGCCCTAAGGGTCTAGGAGCTATAAGATATTCTGTAGCAGAAGAACTCTAACCTCTCCAGTTTTCATGTTATTTCTGTGCACAATGTGCACACATATTTAATCACATGCTTATGAAAATTAAAAAGTTAATTCCTAGCAGTTTGTTTTGCAAGAAAAAAAAAAGATTTCTAAAGCAAGTGTTTCAGAAGTCTGAAAAGGATCATATGGAAGTGCCAAGAGCAATCCATGAACCCAAACTCCCAAAGAATTGTACTGGATACAATCATCATCCTTACCTGCTGCTTTGCTACAATATTCACAGTTCCCTCTCAGAATATGCCTTGGTAAGGGAGGGAGAAGGATGAGCTGACCAGGAATCTTTTCTGGCCCATCTGTGCTTTTCCTAGTTAAGTGCCTGTGTGTCTCTTCAAATTCTGTTTGGGTTGGTATAGCAGAAAGAAGAACCCTGCCTGCAGGCCTGGACTTCTGAACAAGGAGAAATTGCTTCAAATATACAAAGAAAAGGATTTGTATGATGCCTCACTTTTATCAACTTCACAACAAAAATATTAATGGCTAAGGTTCATAGGGAAAGTGTTGCAAAAGGAAATGCTCTCTAACTGCTAATCAACTAGTATTTTGCCCCTGTTAAGTGATTTGTATGTTATACACTCTCAGCTTCTTTCTCCCCAATTCTTCATGGTCACCACATAATCACACTCCTTAAGAGTTCATGATTCAATAACATCTACTAATGTGACAGAGACTCAGATTTCAGCATGCTGTGAATTCAGATTCTAAGAATATGATGGAACATGATTATTTTTATCTGCAAATCAGCCCATCTTTTTATTTTAGAAGAAAACATGCCTGTAAGACCTTAGCCAGATGCTACTTTAAAAATAGTTTTAAAGATTGAGAGATAGTGCACTTTTCTATATTTTAAAGATTTTTCTTATGGTGGAAAATGCACACCAGCACCTCATTCACTCTGTGGCTGGGCACTTTCTGAAGCATGAAAGTGTCTGTGGACTCACAAGACTCTTTTGCATCAACCTGCAGGTGTTTATAAAGGCTACCTGGACAAAAGTTATCACGGCAGAATCCTAGATTATTTCGTTTGATTTGTTTCTTGGCTGTCTCAGACATAGTTATGAACGGAAACTTCTGCTTTTCCTATGTGGTATCACTGTTTCTTTAGGCAAAAATTAAAACTTCAAATACACTATGGTATTAGAAACATCAGTAATAATATGTGTGCCAAGTAATACTGAAGTCTTTGAAATCAAGTATAAACACATACATATGTACATCCATGCACTACAATATACACAACATTTGTACCAAAATATATTCATATATACATACCTCAATGATGGCACCACCCGGAAGTCTCAGAAAATGGCAGAATAGCGCTTGGAACCCACTGGGATAAACAGTGTATATAGATACATGAGAAATTTCTCCTGCACCAAGTGCAGACACAGAAGTTTCATTCTGATGTTGGAGGCCACAGCTGGAGACACTGGACTCGATGCCATGGTTTTTCCAGAGGTAATCATACACTGCCACCTAGTGAGACCCAGAATATCCCCCCACCAGCCCCCAGCCCCAGAAAACAACAGAAAAAAATTAATTAACTTCTGGCAAGAGCATAACCGATTTTAAATGATTTTACAATAAATCTGAAAGTCTCTGCCATCTGCAGTGCTTGCGCTTCATTCCATGCATATTTTTATAGCATATATCTAAATAGTGAAGATAGACAAATCCCCGGTGTGTGCTCCATAAAGTTAATTCTACACAGATGAAGCTGTAATTGGCTCCCATATTAACCAAAAGCAGGATGATCAAGCAGGCTGTGACAATGACAATGTTGTTTTTTTAAAATGCTTAGGATTGTTTTTATGAGTGGTTGGTTTGCTTTCTTGTCCAAAGGAAATCTTTGACTTTTGACTTACTTGCACCATGTTAAAGGCTGTTTCTGATATCATTTGAGCAGTGGACAAGATGAGTTAAAGACATAGTTTACTGACCTCCATTGGGCAGGGTTTTTGTATACGGTATATATTTACCTACTATTTTTCTTTGTGGCAATCCTGATTTTTGGACTTAATGTACTTTATTTTCTGGTAGGAATTCTCATGTAGCAATTTCATTGTCTAATACAATACACCCTGTGGGACTTTCAGGAATGTTAATTGAATTATGAATGAGTTGAAAAGATACTGCTGTATTGCTTGCTTAAAATATTAGTGATGAAGATTAGAATGTACCGCTCTAAAATTTGTCCATGGCTGATAAAACTTGTAGTTATAAGATTTTGTTATTGCCTATTCCTATAAGTGCTGAGCTATAACACAGCTTTCCAAAATTTCTGATTTCCATATTCACAGCTGCCCGAAGGTTCAGAAATAGAGAAATGTTTTCCCTGAATTTCTTTCCTCACTGGATCTTTCTGAGGCTGAAAACGTTACCTATTGTTCCAGAAAGTACATATCAAACATGGATTCCAAAGTTAACTCTCCTTAACATGATTTGCAAATACTTTAAATTCTCAGCAATATGTAAAAGTTTAATATGAAAGAAAGATCAGGCCAATTACTATTTAATTCAATCCAAAATTGACCAAAACTCCTAAGATTATAGCTAGTGACTTTAAAAAAAATAAAAAGGTACAATTAAAATCTAGATAGAAAAAGAAGCTGTAAATTTTCTTAAAAATATGTGAAGGACAGAAATACAGAAGTCTAATATGATGAAAAACAGAGGTTAACTGAGGATCCATTAAAACATGTTTTTGAGAGAATAGAAACATGTTTCATGTGAACAGTGTAGCAGGAAGTCACAATAAAATACTGGTCTATTTTACCTTCGAATAAGTTTGATTTTGACAAATATGCAGAAGGAACCTCACCTGGGGTGAGATTTTAGCTGAGTTGAAAGGAAAGGAAAGAAGAAAGGGAGGGAGGGAGGGAGGAGAAAGAAAGAAAAAAGAAAGAAAGAGAAAGAGAGAGAGAAAGAAAAAGAGAGAGAAAAGGAAGAAAGGAATGGGGGTTAGGGAGGGAGAGAAGAAGAACAAAGAGAAAAGAAAAAAAGCAAGATAAGGTATCCATGTAAGTGCCCATCAATGGATGAATAGATAAAGAAATTATGGTGTGTATATACCATAGAATAGTATTAAACCACAAACAGGATAAAAACCTGTCATTCGCAACAATATAGATAAGCCTAGAAACATTAAGTGATATAAGCCAAGCACAGAGAAGACAAATATTGCCTAGTCCAATTCATAAGTACAATCTAAGAAAAGCTGACTTCATAAAAGCAGAGAGTAGAACAATGATTACCAGTGGCTGAATGGATGGGAAATGGATAATAGGGAGAATGTGATCAACAAATATAATGCTACAGTTAGATAAGGAGTAAGTTCTGGTGACCTATTGCATAGTAGGATAACTATAGTTAACTCTTTTGTTTTAAACATCTCAAAATACCTAAAAGAGAGTATTTTGAATATTACCACAAAGAAATGCTAACTGATTACAGATATGCTAAAACAAAAAAGTCACACTATACCCCATTAATATGTACAATCCTTCTGTGTCAGCAAAAAAACCTTGGTGGAGTTTCGATAGGTGTGAAAAGTGCAGGTACTTCTGGCAGAGGAGCAGTCCTGGTATAGACGCAGATGTAAACTTGCACAGTGGACCCGCAAAGGGTCCATGACCAGGCTTGTAGGAGAATGTGAGGCTGGAAGGTCATCTGGGGCTCTGAAGACTGGGTGCTGGGCTAAGACATTCTGGATATAACTCATAACCAGGATAAGCTCCTGGATGTTTTGAAGCACAGGGAATTTTGATTTGGCTTATGTTAGAGTCATAAAGCTGAAGGTAGTGTGACGAGAAGGCAGAGAGATTGGAGACCATCTCACTAAAAGTGGACAGTAGACCCTGCTCTTGGACAGTCTCTAGATAGGAGGTGTGGGAAGTAGAGAAATCTCAGGAGTGGTAACAAGTATGAGAGCCAGTGACCAGTGACACTGTTGGAATGGGTCTATAGCAAACAGCCAACGCAGCAAGGAGAGAGACCAAATCAGTACTGTGCATGCCTAAAGGAGAAATTTACTAAACTTCATCAAAACCATGGTAACAATGACAGTAACACACAGCATGGCATGCAATTAACTCTGAATCTGCATAACTCTGAGCCTGGTAAGGACATTCAGTAACAGGACACATTTCTGGGTTAAATCAGGTCCCTTGAGTAATGTGGGGGGTAGAGGCAGCATCAGAACTGAGGCCATTGAGCTCCCCATGCTGTGCAAAGCTCCAGGCCAGGTTTTCACAGGACTCTCCTCCTTCAAGATCAGTCCATGCACTGCTGGTGCCCAGCCTCTGGATGCAAAAGGTTTAATGTCAGACTAAAGGAATGAGAAGGAAACTGTAGTCTGCATTCTGGAGAACTGTAGGGTCCCCACACCTTCTAGCTCTTGGTGACCTTGAAAAGAGGAACCTGTTTGTTGGAAATGTAACATAAATCAAAGCCTATTGCTCCCTTGAATGGCCAGGACATACTGAAAGCAACAAGAAGATGGGCACATTTGTTACTCAGTAACTCCTGCTTTGGAAGCTGATGCCTTTCAAAGGGTGAGTGGCCCTGAAATCTGGTCAGTAAACTATATGGAGTACATTTTAGAAAATAACCCTGTTCATTTTGATTTTCCTTATTCTCTTTTAAAATTACTCCTAATCTCAGGAAACAGAGGAGTAAATTGCTTTCTGCATAAACACATCTTAAACTGACACTGACTTGTCCAGTAGGAAAAGTAGGGTGTGACAGATAGAAAGTGAGTCAGCATTATTTAGGTTAAGAAACAAAAATTCACCTGCTCTCGCCGAAATGGGTTTTGGATGGATAGAGTACACAGGTACTTCCTAGTGACAGCCTGAATTGAAAAAACAATGAAAAGTTCAAGCAAAGCTCTGCTTTCTTCTGTCAAATTCACCAGGGCAGAAGAGTAAGTAAAGCTTTCTGAGACAGACCAGGAGCACAGGGAAATCCGAAATGCAGGAATAAAGGTTATCTCTTAGTATCACAAGGTTGCAATTAAAGTATATAAACACACATTTATATATAATTTAATATCTACAATGCTGTACAATTAGTAGCATTATTCCTATTTTATAGACAAAGTGATTGAGGCCCAAAAATGTTAAATTACTTGCCCAAAGACAGTTATGTGATAGTGTTTGCTAAGAGATAACCTTTATTCCTGCATCTCGGATTTCCCTGTGCTCCTGGTCTGTCTCAGAAAGCTTTACTTACTCTTCTGCCCTGGTGAATTTGACAGAAGAAAGCAGAGCTTTGCTTGACCTTTCCCTTGTTTTTTCAATCTAGGCTGTCACTAGGAAGTACCTGCATTCTCTGTCCATCCAAAACCCATTTCAGCTAGAGCAGGTGAATTTTTGTCCCTGTTATCTGTGCTAAGTTGTCTTCATTATGGGTGACAAATTTGCAAGCTCACTTGACTCCCAATCTAGAGACACAGCTTCCGAACAGCTGCATTGGAAATGAGGCTGACACTTTTATTTCCTTTGGCCTGATTCTTATGTCTGCTTCTTAATTTTCTCAAATAGTGCAGGTGGGGCAAGAGGGGTACTTAGACCCTGATATCCTAGCCATAATCAAACAGTGCTGGTATTGAACTCAGGTTGTTCTGACTCTGAAGCCCATGCACTTGCAATAACACCATGTGGTAACACGTTTGATCACATAGATCACTATCACACTTAAGTGCTGCTTCAGAACGGGGACGAGTCTGGACAAGATTCTAGATGCTGAATTTTTCTCTTCAGGTAAGTGCTCATAAGGAAGATTCAGGATATTTTTCTATCCTTGGTCTATTTATTTAAGAAATATATGCCTCATCCAAATGACACAAATTTTTACTAATGTCCCACAGGGGTACTCAAGGTTCTTTGAAGATAAACTAAGGAAAACACTGGAACACATTTTGCTTTCCTGTTCTGGGGCCATAAATGTCATATACTAAAGTAATTCCTGTCTTTTCCAGAGTTTCTGGCTATCAGTTCTTAAGGCAGGACACTTAAAACACCTATGAACAGCAAGAAGTACAGATCCAGGTAAGCCTTTTTCAATTCTTATGTGAGTCCACACCTCCTGCTGGAAAGGGATAAGAAGAGAGTGACACATGTGATGATGAGTGGTCCATAATATCTCCCTAGAAGTGGTCCCAAGGTCTGAGACAGATGATCACACAGAAGAGAATATTTTCAGTTACCTGTCGTTGTATTGAGTATTTTCATATTGGCTATGGAAACAGCCTACCCTGTGGGTAATTTCTTCACCGTCTGACTTACAACCAAAGACAGCCTCCAGCAATTGGGGATGCTTAGCTTTAAAACTTCTTAAAATCTTCCCTAGGGTTAAGAAAGTAGGGCAAGGTAAAAAAAAAAAAAAAGAACATGGATGTTTTATAACTGGGATAAAACAGGAAGAGCTGCTGATCAGAGGAGGATACAGCAATGGGGAAAGATGAAGAAATCACA